GCTGTATATATAGTTTTGGCAACTAAAATAATTCAGTCGCTGAAAGAAAAATAAAAATTTGTTTTTTATCTTTAGTGACCAAAATTTTGGTTGGCAAAAATTTAATTTCAGCGACTAAAAGATATTTTAGTCCCTGTATAGATAGTTTTGGCAACTAAAATAATTTAGTCGCTGATTGAAAAATAAAAATTTACTTTTTATCTTTGGCGACCAAAAGATTGGTCGGCAAAGATTTAATTTCAGCGACAAAAAAATATTTTAGTCGCTGTATAGATAGCTTTGGCAACTAAAATTACTTAGTTGCCGAATGAAAAATTAAAATTTACTTTTTATCTTTGGCGACCAAAAGTTTGGTCGGCAAAAATTTAATTTCAGTGACTAAAAAATATTTTAGTCACTGTATATATAGTTTTGGCAACTAAAATAATTTAGTCGCTGAAAGAAAAATAAAACTTTATTTTTTATCTTTGGCGACCAAAATTTTGGTCGGGAAAAATGTAATTTCAGTGACTAAAATATATTTTAGTCGTTGTATAGGTAGTTTTGGCAACTAAAATAATTTAGTTGCTGAATGCAAAAATAAAAATTTATTTTTTATCTTTGGCGATCAAAATTTTGGTCGGCAAAAATTTAATTTCAACGACTAAATAATATTTTGGTCGCTGTATATATAGTTTTGGCAACTAAAATAATTTAGTCGCTTAATGAAAAATAAAAATTTACTTTTTATCTTTGGTGACCAAAATTTTGGTCAACAAAAATTTCATTTCAGGGACTAAAAAATGTTTTAGTCGCTGTATAGATAGCTTTGGCAACTAAAATAATTTAGTCGCTGAATGAAAAATAAAAATTTACTTTTTATCTTTGGCAACCAAAAGTTTGGTTGACAAAAATTGAAATTCAGCGACTAAAAAATATTTTAGTCGCTGTATAGATAGTTTTGGCGACTAAAATAATTTAGTCGTTGAATGAAAAATAAAAATTTACCTTTTATCTTTGGCGACAAGAAGTTTGGTCGCTAAAAATTTATTTTCAGCGACTAATAAATATTTTAATCGTTGTATAGTTGCTTTTGGCTACTAAACACCATGAGGAATACGATTTTGAGAAAGACGGATTCCTTGAATTTCTGATGTCATAGGATCTTCTTGTGGATCACTAGGTGGTCTACTAGGTGGCCTAGAGGGTATCTGTTGAAGAATATTTTCTATTTGTCTTCTGGTTGGTTGGTTGTCAACAGATTGACGGCTGGATTCTGGATAGTCCACTTGGTAAGGAGGGACAGATCTAAAACTGTTATTAGAAAAACTTCTAGGTGCAGTTCGAAAACTGGCATTACTGTTGGGTGGTGAGATAACGGCGTTTAATCTCCCACGGATCTGTCATCCATTGTTCATCTGATGGTTCAATCCAGAGGACCGTTTCATCAGAAAGACTGTTAGGAGTGTACGGGTCTTCCGGCCTTAGGAGAACATCCCTTGCCGTTGGATTACTGGTTTGACCTCCTCGAGAGAGGGGTGGATATTCTGATGGATCATAGCGAGGGTTAGAACCCCGGCCACGACCTCGACCTCTGTGGCCTCTACTGGTCATTTGCTGATTTCTGCAAATATTCACGGGTCAAAAAGTCAGGCAAAGAGTTAGTTTCGCCTTTGATATATTCAATATCAAAATCAAAATTGGATAAATAACCTTGCCAGCTTACGAATATCTGTTTAGAAACAAGATTTTTAACATCCTGTTTAAATATCTGTCTAGCAGCAGAGCAATCAACTCTGATGATAAAATGCTGGTTTAAGATAATGCTGTTTTTGGGTTTGCCAGAAATCTAAATATGTTAATAACTGTTCTAGTAAGTCAACAGAGGGCATACATATTGAAATACGCTTAGCAAACTTTTATTGAAGAAGTAATATATTTTACAAGAGAGGGTTGGAAGGGAGATTACAAGCAAAGGAAAATTTAAAACAAAGAAAAGCTGAAAATTTCTAAGTGCCTCAACAAGGGTGAAGGCCTTCCCTTAAATAGATAAAAGAAGATAAGATATAATTATTACATAAGGACAGGTGGAAGTCTTTCATTGCACCGACAGATTACACCTATCTCCTTATCTTCAAAGTTGGCGGAAGAGGGGAACAACTTTTTCCCTGATACTGATGGAGCATCTACAGGAGTATTAAGATAATGCTGTTTTTGGGTTTGCCAGAAATCTAAATATGTTAATAACTGTTCTAGTAAGTCAACAGAGGGCATACACAACGACTAAATTATTTTAGTTGCCAAAGCTATCTATACAGCGACTAAAAATTTACTTTTTATCTTTGGCAACCAAAAGTTTGGTTGACAAAAATTGAAATTCAGCGACTAAAAAATATTTTAGTCGTTGTATAGATAGTTTTGGCGACTAAAATAATTTAGTCGTTGAATGAAAAATAAAAATTTACCTTTTATCTTTGGCGACAAGAAGTTTGGTCGCTAAAAATTTATTTTCAGCGACTAATAAATATTTTAATCGTTGTATAGTTGCTTTTGGCTACTAAATTTATTTAGTCGCTGAATGGAAAACAAAAATTTACTTTTATTTTTGGCGACTAAAAGTTTGGTTGGCAAAAATTTATTTTCGGCAACTAAATAAATTTTAGTCGTCATATACCAACTTTTGCTCACTAAAAGAAATTTAGTTGCCAAATATCTAGTATAATTTTATTTTTAATCTTTCGTAACTACCTCATTTGGTCGGCAAATATACATTTTTGGTGACTAAAACACATTTAGTCAGTAATAAAACTCAATTTTTTTTGTGGGAACATACTGCCCAATTTGAGTTCATGTTTAATTTTATCATTATTATAATTTTATTTTTTATTTATTATCATTTTGGAGGGATTTTTAAATTAATTTGGTAAGGAACTCTGGAGGGATTTCAAACACACTAAAATGAGTTAGGGCTTAAACGCGTCTCTCTCTCACTCTGTAACTCTCTTTCTCTCTCTCGCATCTGACCTCTTTCGATTCTCTCACGCCTCTGTCTCTCTCATTCCATTACTCTCTCTCTCTCTCTCTCTCTCTCTCTCTTTTTCTCTCTCACGCCGATTGCCTTCCTTTTGATATTGAATCTCTATCGCTTTGTTTTCATCGCCGTCAGGTAAGGAGAATCACTGCCATCGAGCACCACCGTCGATCCACTATTAGAGCATTACCCCAATATATCCTCTCTATTTTTCCTTCTCTCTGTCCCTCTCTCTACCTCTTTTCCCCTAATATCTGTCTTTTTCACTCTGTGACTCTCTCTGTCTTTGTTTTCTTTTTGACTAAAGTAATTTTGTTCTATAATGTCTCACCTACCAGGGCCTTTACTATCCCTATTTTCCAGAGCATCTTCAACTCTCCCTAAAAACTATTTGAGGTATAAATATCCCTCTCTTTCTATCTATCTCACTTATCTTTTTTCTCTCTATCTCTCTCATATCTCTTCTCTCTCCGTCTCTCTCGCTAATCTCTCTTCTCTCTATCTCTCTCTTTGTCTCTCTCGTTCATCTCTCTTTTCTCTCTGTCTCTCACTCTCTATCTCTCTCTCTCTTTTCTCTTTCTCTCTCTCACTCATCACTCTTTTCTGTCTGTCTTTGTCTCTGTCTTTGTCTCTTTCTCTATTTGTCTCTTGCTCATCTCTATCTCTTTTCTTTTTCTATCTCTATCTCTCTAGCTCATCTCTCTTCTCTCTATCTCTGTCTCTGTCTCTCTCTCTCTCGCTCATCTTTCTTCTCTCTCTGTCTCTCTCTTTTTCTATATCTTTCTCTCGATCATCTCTTTTTGCTCTCTCTCTCTCTTTCTCTCTTTGTCTATCTCTCGCTTATCTCTTGTTTCTCTCTCTTTTTTTGTCTATCTGTTTGTCTCTCTCTCTCTGTCTCTATATATATACCTCTTTCTCTCTCTGTCACTCTCTCACTTATCACTTTTTTATCTCTCTTTCTCTCTCTGTGTCTATCTATCTCTCTCTTACTCATCACTCTTCTCTTTTTCTTTCTCTCTCTGTGTCTGTCTGTCTCTCTCCCCCATTGTGTTTATCTTGCTCACTCTCTCCCTCCCCTCTTCTCTATTTACCGAGCTCTTCATTACAAGAAAATGCACTTTTAGCGACCATTTTGTCTCTCTCTCTCTCTCTGTCTCTGTCTCTCTATCTTTGTCTCTCTCTCTTCTCTATTTGTCTCTCACTCATCTCTCTCTCACTACATCTCTCCTCTACCACCTTCACCACTACTGCAAATGTCATTTCACTACCACCATTATTACCACTGTTGACACTCCATCTCTACAACTACCATTACTACCACCATCGTTACCACTCCACTACCACTACTACTACCACCACTGCTACCACTACTACTACTACTACTACTACTACTGCTACTACTATTACCTTTCCTCCACCACTGCCACTCCATCTTTTCTACCATGGCCACAACTTCACCACTAATCTCTTTCGCCACCACCACCACCACCACCACCACCACCTTCACCACTTGCCGCTCCCTCTCCTCTACCACAAAAATTAGCTCTTGATTTTTAGTAGCAAAAAAAAAATTGGCCACAAAAAAAATTATTCATCGAACATGAAAAATTAACTTTATTTTAACGAAAAATATTTTTCATTAAAATATTACCCCTACTTCTATCAAATAAAAACAAAATTCATTAAAATAAAAATAAAACTAACTTGCCCCCATTTTTTTGCCCGCCCAAACTTAATTTCCCCCATTTTTTTCCCTCTGCCTTTTCCCCTAATTTTTTTTTTAATTTCCTTTCAGGTTTGTAGAGTCCTTAATTTCATAACACTGTTTCAAAACAGTGAGCAAACCTTAATCTGAGAGAGAGAAGATAGAGGGTTTGAAGAGAGATTGGGGTTGAAGGGGAAGGGTTTCAGTCAGCGGCGAGACTAGTTCAGCGGCGAGACGGTACGCTTCTTTTGACTCTTCTTTCGACTCTCTCATTCCAGTCGGTTCCTCTATCGACTGGGTTGAAATGGTTCCTCTATATCTCTATGTGACTGTGTATCCTTGGAACAACAATGATGTAGTTTTACAATCCGAACAGATCTTAAACCCTATGGCCATTTGGTTCGTCTCCACTATGGCCAGAGTCAAACCCATCTTCCCTGCGCTCTCATTCTTTTATTTTTTTATTTTTATTTTTTTGAACAGCCTTGCACTCTCATTCATGGCTCTCTAACTCAATGCAAATGATCTCAGATCCAAAACACTTAAATCCCCTTCTAATCAGTCAAAATGAAGAGCCGACTGGCCATAGGGTTTCAATTTATGAATAATCAAGCTTTGTGGGCTATATTTGGAAGATACTTTCAATTGATTTTCGCTTAGTACTGCAACTTGTTATTTTGCCCTAATCAGTTGAAGGTTATGAGTATAAATGGGGATGACTATTGAATTGTGCTTCAACTCTGTGACTGTGCAGTTGATAGATGGTTATTTATCTAAGATGTGCTTCAACTATGTTGATTCGATTTTGTTTATGCAGATATTTGATTTGTTTGATGTGAAATGCAATGGGGTTAGGAGAATTTGTTCATTCATTAGGCATTTTTCATCCAAATGCACTTGTAACAGACATAAATGAAGGACTCTATATAGCCCTAAATAGATAAGAATAACTGTTTTAATCTCAAGTTGAATCAGTTTTGCAGTCATTCAGCCTTGTGCAAGATTGTTCCCAATATTCAATGAGAAAAATAAGGAAATTTCTTGTCTAGATGAACTTCTAGTTGTTGCCTTTTTCATCATATAGTATATTTCTAAGAGCATGTCCGCGAGAAACCTGATTTATTAAAATATTTTGATAGAGCATACAAGGCTTTCAGGGTTGAGAGACATGCTCTTTTCATCATATAGTATATTTCTTAGAGCATGTCTGAGAGAAACCTGATTTATTAAAATATTTTGATGTTGGTGAATATGCTAAATCCAAGAAACGGGAGAATAAGAGAGAAACTCTTGAAAAAATAAGATTGAAGTTGATACAGGGCTTTCAGGATTGGCGTAGACAATATGTAGACCTAGCCAGGATGACGAATTTTATATGATTTCTGGGGAGACGGAGGATACACTTGCTGAAGGAAGAATTGTGCAAGCAACGGTATGTAGAGTGCAACCTCAAAGAGCAATCTGTGGGCTTGAATTTGGATTGACTGGTGTGCTTACTAAGGAAGACTTTTCTGATGATTGGAGGGACAATTCTGATTTGTCTAAGAAGTTGCATGAAGGTGAGATTCTTACTTGCAGGATCAAATCGATTCAAAAGAATAGGTACCAGGTTTTCCTAACATGTAGAGAAAATGAGATGAGCAGTAAACGTTATCAGAATAATCGAGCCTTGGATCCCTACTACCATGAAGACAAGAGTAGCTCACAGTTTGAGAAAGAAAAAGCTCGTAAAGAAAAGGAGCTTGCTAAGAAGCATTTCAAACCGAGGATGATTGTTCATCCTCGTTTTCAAAATATAACAGCAGATGAAGCAATGGAGGTATGTCCCCAATAATGTTGCTCTACTATTGTTAACCTGCTATGGTTAAGATCATGCAGGCTTGGGGGTGGTACTGTATTCTAATCTAAATTATGCTTCAAAATATGCTTTTAATACAACCAATTTTTACATTAAATCAAACTTTGTTAATGTAAAGTTGAAAACACACTGTGGGCAAACACTCCACAAAAGTTTGACTGAAAGCTAATTTTTAAGCATAATAGTGACACTTGTGTTGTTAAAACTTAAATAAAGAGGAATTTGAGGACTTGCAAGTTGATATTGTAAATTGTAGGTTGTAAGGTTTAATAGGATTTGGTCATAGTAATAATAATACTCTGTGGTTTTGATTTGAGTAAATTTTCCTTGGAAAGTAGCTCCTTGTGAAATTTAGATGAACTTCTAGTTGTTGCCCTTTTCATCATATAGTATATTTCTTGTCTAGTAAATGGCAGTAATTAAAATTGAATATGCATTTCAAAAGTTTATGCTTTACAAAAAGGTGATGTTATTGATATGCAGGGATCATTCAAATTTTGTCAATTGTGTACGGTTTTCTACAGATGGTAGCAAGTTCATTACGGTAAGCTCTGATAAGAAGGATATACTATATGATGTGAAAACTGGAGAGAAAATTGGAGAGCTGTCCTCAGAGGATGGTCATAAAGGCAGCATTTACGTTGTTAGCTGGAGCCCTGATGGTAAACAGGTAATCAGTGTTGTGTGGATTCTCTCTTGAGCTGCTTCTAGTTGATTTTCTATTCAAAATTTGGTTATTAAATTTTCAGATTTGATTTTTTGGATTTTTTTTCTGAAACGTTCAAACACAGTGGACATTTATGTATTAAATAGGGGTCCAAATCATTTTTCTATTAAATAATTATTTTTCCTAAAAATTTTGCTTCCCAAATTTTCCAAATTTTTAGCTTCCCAAATAATACTCAGTTGGGTTGAAACACCATAGGAAATCACAGAAACACCAAAGAAGCCTAATTCCTATAGTCATAGATGACTGCAACACCATTTTTCCCGCAACTGCAGCAGTTTTTTGGGCTTTATTCCGAAACATCTGGGTGCTAGCACAATCATTAAGGCCAATGGACAAAAAGGATGTAAGTCAAGCTTCCTATCTTTGTATGATTAGATGACGGTCACGTACTTTTTATTGAGTAGGCTCAGGTTCAATGATTCATTCTCTTATTTAGATGTTCTTCATAGCTTGCAATCGTAGCTACACAATTGTACATTTGAACTCTTTGGTTTAGTTGAATGGATTCACCATAGATGCTTGTTTGGCTTATTTTGTTACTTTTTCTTGGATAGGCTCAGGTATTGTTTTGGGCATAATTCATCTTTGTTTGTGCATGATTTGATGGTTTGCTTCAAGAAAAGTTTCTTTATAATGGGGCTTTTGGGGTAAAACTATGATTTATGATGTCAAGATTTATAACTTGCATATGAATTGTCTGATAAGCCTTCTATGTATTTAATTTGCAATCTAATTGCCTGAATCTAGACTACCAAAATTGAATTTATGATACAAGGCAAATAATCCTCGAACTCTGTTTCATGCTTTTTGTTCATATGCTTTTGGACCATAAAATTTTCATCACTCTCGATTCTTGTGTTCACATTCAACTAGTAATGTCTTCACATCAAATCAAACTACTCGTCATTAGTGAGTATTCTGTGTTGTGTCACATAACCTTGAGAACTGTTCTTATTTGATCTTTGTTTATTGTTGTGTCATAACTCTTGCAAACGCATTCATCAAATTGTTTTTTTATGCTACTGTTATCATCCTCAAGATAGTTACCTCTCATCCCTATGAACATCATTGTTCAAGTTATTTTCATTTCTTTGCACATTCTTCCTCTGACGCACAAAAGATGTACTTGAGGCTGAACCGTGGTGTAAGCCTCTTGAGACTGTTAACTTTTGATGCCTGATCTGCTTGATTCATCTCCTGGAATCATTTTGTACTATGCAAGAAAGTGTGCATCTGTTTTGTTAATTTAGTAAATGAAAGATAAATAGGGATTTAACTATAGTTTTCATAACTTGATGGAATGATTAGGCAAGATTTCTATGTATAATTTTTGTTACTTCATGTAATCTATGCGAGTGCTGACATATATGCATTGGCAGCACAATGAAAAGTCTTTATCAGCTGGTTTAATTGGCAATGACAACACTGCATCTATGCTGAAATCACTGCCAAATTACAAATAAGAGTGATACACTTTATGTGGATGGATTTTATATTGCAAGGAATTGATACAAGGCCCAAACTTTTGCTGTCTATAAAATCAGCCACTAGCCAGTCTCTTTGAGATGCCTATCCTTGCATATCCTATCTTAACTTCATGCTTGATTCTCTGCTATACTGGTTTGGTTTTTAACCTTTTATGGTTGATAAGCTGCTAATACTATTTCAAATCATCAGGAAAATGTGAAGACAAAACATCCTCAGTTACTTTACGAATCAAAGCTATACAGAATTCTACAGGGAGGAAGTAATGACTGTTTTTATTAATTTTTTATTTTAGTGGGACAATTGATCTGTTATGAGCTCTTTTGCTCATATATTTGATACTCTTTTCTGTTTATAACACTTCTAAAATATTACAGCTGGAATTCCGCATGTGAGATGGTTTCGAGTGGAGGGAGACTACAATGTTCTAGTGATGGATTTGCTTGGACCCAGTGTTGAAGATTTGTTCAATTTTTGTAGTAGGAAACTTTCTTTAAAGGCTATTCTTATGCTTACAGATCAAATGGTAACTGCATTTGATTTAATGCATACTGTTATTGCATTTAGATAATTCTAAGTTTGTCAACACTTATACCTGGTATTTATTTTAGATCAATCGAGTTGAGTCTGTCCATTCTAAATCCTTTTTACATCGGGATATCAAGCTAGACAATTTTCTTATGGGCTTGGCAAGGCGTGCAACCCAGGTTCCCCGTCAAAACTTCCATCTTTGTGGTGGTTAAAAATTTCCCCCCCGATATCTGTGTTTATTAGTCCTTCCATTTCTCTTTTTTTTTATGTCTACATCATTGACTTTAGTCTGGCTAAAAAATATAGAGACTATGACCCACCAACACATTCCTTACAGGTGAGATGATTTTGATTAGTTTATTATTTAATGGATCCTGGTTGCCATCTATGCTCTCATGAACACATAAACACACTACACGTTAGCTCTGTTCTTTTTCAGATACTCTTTAGTTGATGTAGGGTCAACAATTGATATACGAATAAGTTTAAGAATACAAAAACCGATCACTGAATCGAACACAATATATGTGAATGGACAAGTTTTTTCACAAACTAACTTTTTAAAAATCTTGTCTATTTATATGTATTTTGTGTTTATTTCTCTCTGTAACACAGGAACAAGTCCAGAAACACAGAAACCGATCACAAAATTTTATATAAGATTTTTTAAAAATGGGCTCTTCCAACTTTTTAAAAATCTTACTGAAGGACTACCTTGGCGAGACTTGCTGAGCTGCTTTGTCTCATTGTTTAGGTATGCCAATACTTAATTGTGGTGTAGTCATCATCAAATGTTTGTAATGTAATCATATAATTTTTTTCCATATGGTTAATTTTTTTTATGAGAATACTTCATTTTGGATGTTTTTCTAGATCCTAACTTTTCTTATTTTATTTGTAGGTGACTTCCAAAAACGATCAAGCACAAGGCTGATGCTGCAAAACCATATATATTCCTTCCCGTTTTAGAATTTTTTTTGGATTCCTTCATTGATTTTGCTTTTAATTTTTGTTCAATTACTTACTGGTTTTCAATGGATGGATGTTTAAAACTTGTCTCAATTAATGTTTTGAATGGAATGATTATAAAGTTTGGGATTGGGCAGGAAAATATGATGAATTTTAATGTTATATTTAGGTTGGGTTGAATGAATTTTGTCCAATATTGGATTGAATGTTTATAAACAAAAATTGAATGTTCAAAAAAAAAAAAAAAAAGAGATTTGGGGACTAACTAATTAGTCGTTGATTGTTTAATGTCTTTTGGTGACAAAATATTTGGTTGAGAAAAGTTTTGGCGACTAAATAATTGGTCGCCAAATTTTACACTTTTGTGACTAAAATCATTGGTCGGCAATTCCTTACCTTTTGGTGACTAAATTATTAGTTGGTGATTCCTCAACTTTTGGCGACGAAAATAGTTGGTTGCCTATTTTTTGCTTTTGGCGACAAACATATTTGGTCGAGAAAATATCATTTTTCGCGACCAAATTATTTTAGCGACTAAATATGATGATATATTTAGCGACAAAAAATTTAGTTGTCAAATCTAACTATTTCCCGACTAACAAAAGTTTTGGTCGCCAATTACTTTTGCCGACCCTCAATTGGTGACCAAAGTGGCGACCATAATGCAAATGACTTTTGCTGACTAAAAATAGACTTTTGCCGACCAATTTTTTAGTCGGGAAAAGTGTAATTTCTTGAATATTAATATTGCCGACCAATCTTTTGGTCGTGGAATATATTGCCAACCAAATTTTTTGGTCACGGAATGTGACAATTGGTGACCAAATTAGTTGGTCGTGGAAATGGGCGACAATTGCCGACCAAACTATTTGGTCGTTGAATGTGCGAATTGGCGACTAACATGTTTGGTCGGGAAAATATGACTTTTCGCAACTAAAGTGTTTTAGCTACTAAATGGATTAGTTGTAGTAATTATATATTTAGCGACCAAAAATTTAACTCTTCGCAAATATAACTTTTTTGTGAGTAAAATTTTTTTTGGTTGCTAATTACTTTCCGCGACCCTCAATTGGCGACCAAAGTGGTGACCAAAAAAATTAGTCGCGGATAACTTTTGCTGACAAAAAATGGACTTTCGCCGACCAAATTTTTAGTCGACAAAAGTGCGAATTCTTGTAGTGTTGTCTGATGCTCATATTTTAGTTAATTTTCATAAATTGTTTAGCACATCTCTACTGGGCTTTGGCTCACCCTACTTGGGAAACCATTTTCAGGTACAAGTGACATGCCACCTCCAAAGATATAGCTTAGAAGGCTTAGGGCTGAGGGCTTCATTTTTGATATTTCATATTTTGTGTTGAATGTTTTATTTTAAATCGAGGGCTTTACTTGTACAGAGACTAGACTCTTATTTTGTTGTAACCAAGTGATAACTTGGAAAGATATAAGCCCGTAAGACATTTATTTTGTTGTTATCAATTAGAGTTACATGCTATAGTTTCAAGAAGAATATTTGTGAAAGTGTAATGCTTGTAATATCTTTTGTGATACAAACTCTGATGAATGAAAATGTACCATTTCTACTATATCTGTTGATCTTATGATTTGTTGAATTACATTGTGTTTTGAGGGCGTTACATAAGATTTCTATGCAACACTAAATTTTTGATTTACCAAACAACTGAAAAAAAGGGAAAGTGATGATATACAAGCTTTCTTTTTAGATTCACTCTCTAAATTAAATGATGTGTAAGAAAGTTGATTGACTAATAATTAAAGAAGATACAAGATAAAAAGTTATCCTAAATATTCTAATTAATTATCACTTTAATTTAAAAATTAGTTATTTGACATAACTTAAATAAATATATACTTTTTGACTTTTTTATTAAAAAAGTAGATTAAAAAAAAAATAGATGTATGAGATAACTTTTGAGTTTTTGAGAAAAAAAAAACGTAATATAAAATAAATCTGCAACAAATGCAGCGTGATGAGATGTAAAGAAATTTTTTTTCTTAGTTTAACTTCCCTCTAGTTTGTGATCTGACTTGAGGGTGCTGTTAGGCCCGTTTTTGATAATCTAAACCGTTCAAAATGTAGAACTCATCGAGTACTATTTACCTTTAAAAAATCACATTGATTAGATATCGATAACTATTTGATCGAATAAGATTTCTGCCAACTATTTATTTTTCACCGTCCATTTTTTGTTATACAAAACTGATTTGATCACATAACTATCGATATTCGATTAACGTGATTTTGTAGATATGTAGTAATCTATGAGTTCTATACATTGAACGGTTCAAATTATCTAAACACGACCCGTAGTGAGCCCTACAGGCCCAACATCACCCTTCAGTCCGATCACGGATTGGAGAGAAGCCAATCCTTCTTTTTTTTTTTTTTTGGTCCTTGCTCCTGCAACAAATGTAGCTCGATGAGACTTAAAGAAATTTATTTAGTACGTTTGGTTTCAGTTTTTTAAAATTGAGTTTTTTATTTTTTATATTTTTTTATTTTTAGTGAATATTTTTAAAATTTTTAGCAATTTTTTAACCTTTTAGATATACCTTACTCAAATGTATCTAAAAAGTAAACTATTTCTGAAAAAATATTTTTAAAAATTAATGAATACACAAAAATATGAAAAATGGATTGAATTTTTGTATTTTTTATATTTAGTGAATCTTTTTTAAAAACAGTTATAAATATTATAATTTTTAAGTGTATTTATGTTAAGTATGTCAAAAAAATTTTAAAAAAAATTACTTAAAATATTAAAAAAATTCATTGAAAACAAAAAATTAAAAATTAAAAATTTCTAAAAATCAAAACCAAACAAAATGATTTATTTTTTTTGATCCATGCTCCTGCAACGGCCAGTGATAACTTGTATGGCCATTATTGCATACATGTTCAACACACAAGAAATGAGGTGTAATAATTCACACTTTTGTCCATTTACACTTAGAAATCTCTGTCAAAATATAGTACATTTTGATTTATTTTTTTTGGTTTTACTGTTTCAATTTATTTTTTTTACCTTGTTTTTTATTTTGGGATTAGGTATATTGATAACAAGAATTTTATAAACGCAAGCTTTATTTTTCTAAAAAACGATATTTGTAAGGTTTGAAATATGTTTTGGTGAAATAATTTATACAAATTGTAAAAAAAATTTTTTTAATCATAATTTGTATGTTTAATTTTTTTTAATTTTTTTTTTGCGTTTTGCGTGACGATTTTGATCCAAAATTTTAAATTTTTTTCAAAAGTCAACCGAAATCAAACTTGTCAAATTGAAACTCTTTTCACCCAATTTGTTGCAAAACTCTTTTCACCCAATTTGTTGAAACTCTTTTTTTCAATGAAAAATAATAATATGAAAAACAAGTGTGTTGTGGAAATACGCATGTATTTGCAAAATAACACTATTGCTCCAATGTATTTGACCTCATTTGTTAAAAATTGTACAAATCTGTTTATTGTGAATTTGTACCGTTTCGTTTTATTATGTTGGCATCACAATTTTCCATAATAAAAATTAACAATTGCCAAGTTTAATAGGAAAATATTTCATGACGATCTAAGAGAAAGAAGATTTTATTTAGTGATCCGTAAATAAAAAATAACTTCTTAAAAAAAATTGAATCTTTTTTTACCCTCAACGTCTCATGACATGAATGCTTTTTTATTTAACAAACAAAAATAGAATGTTTTAAATAACATAATTTATATTTCTCATATAAACACAAACAATCTTGAAATCTACTTCCCGTTGCCCCCACAAACAAAGCTACTACGCTTGTGCTTGTACTGCCAGCGCTCATGCAATAGTCACCCTCACATTCGCCATTTCAATGTCTTCATTTCCTAAAATCATTATATCTCCAATTATTGTCATTATTGGGGGGGTTGGGAAGGTCTAGCGCTTCATAGTCCTCAACATTTTGGATATTTTGCATTACTTCATCAACGAGGCTATTTCGTCTTATAAAATTACAAAAATGCTAAACACCTCAAAAATTCTGTCAAAATTTTTACCAAATGTCTCGCATGGATGTGGATCCCATGTGGATCCACACTAATGTGAGATATTTGATAAAAATTTTGGTAAAATTTTGGGGATCTCTAACATTACTCAGAAAATTATGTAAGCTCATTGATGTTGCAACTACAAGGAAACTTGTACTGTCCGAAAATCATTTTTCATAATGTTCCTCAAGATGTCCCACCTTGACTTCCATGCCCTAAACGTTCTCTTGATGCAACTACGTAACAACGAGTGTGCCCTATTAAAGCGTTCGTATTCGTCCTGTGGTCGTCGGTTGTGATAAGTTGATTGGTGATACAGGTAGCCCCAGAATGGTGCCAAAAACTCTTTCTAATTATTATACCCACTGTCAACCAAGTAGTATTTCTCTGCACATAAACAATAATCATATATCACGCAACATTTATATAAAGTAAAGAAATTTATAAAAACTAGTGCATATATATCAAATAATTATTGAATACAATTTTATTAACAATCAACTTTTACCAAGTTCAAGATGCAGGAATCCATACACGTCATTACTTATAACGTAATGCAAAACTGTACAGTTGTGCATGCTCCGATCCTACTCACAGGAATCAAAAGTAAAGTATAAATCAAAGTCACACACCGCACTAATAGCCACACAAGTTATCACCAAGCAAAGAAAAGATGAAATTAAGAAACACATAAAAGTAAATATATGAAAATACCCAGATGCACAACTTGTTTAGTTAAGTATTTGCAAGGGGAAGAAAAAAAATGCGGTATATGTTAATAAAATATAAACTAATTTTTTTCTGCAATTCCCTTTTCAATTCTAAATTTCTTTAAAAAAAACCTAAGATTTCTATGCGACGCTAAATTTTTTATTTACCAAACAAC